TTGGATAAATACCCAGAAATGGAATTGCTGGAGCATTAATTTTTAGGGATCTCCATACTGTTTTCCATAGTGGCTGCACCAATTTACATTCTCACCAACAGTGCACAGGGTTCCCTTTTCTCCACATCCTCCCAGCGCTTATCTGTTGTTTGTCTGATGATAGCCATTCTAGCAGGTATGAGGTGGTATCTCATTGTGGTTTTGATTTGCATCTTCCTGATGATTAATAATGTTGAGCACCTTTTCATGTACCTGCTGGCTCTTTGTATGTCTTCTTTGGAAAAATGTTCAGCTCCCCTGCCCATTTTTAAATCAGATTGTTTGGGGGTTTTTTGCTATTGAGTTGTATGAGTTTTTTATATTTTTTGGATATTAACCTCTTATCCATATATAATGTGCAAATATTTTCTGCCATGCTGTAGATTGCATTTTCATTTTGTTGATGGTTTCCTTTGCTGTGCAGAAGCTTTTTAGTTTGATGTAGTCCTTTTTTTTTTTTTAATGACAGTACTTGGCAGTGAAGAATATAGACATGAATTGTTTCAACTTGGTATTGTCTTGATTTGTGCTTAGGTGCCAGTGGTTTTGTCACCATTGCTTCTCGCCATTAGTGCAAATGTTGACACAGTACAAAAGGCAAATAATGTCTCAATATTTTTATGAAAATAACTTGACGTTATGACCCTCTCTGAAGGGGTCTTGGAGACCACTGGGGGTCTGCAGACCACACTTTGAGAACTGCTGGTATAAAAGGTATAAATGCCTTTTTATATGAGCAGGTTTACGCTAGTTAGCTAAATGTTGCCTCCTTTATTTTCTACGATTATAATTTATAAAGGTTTGAATAATGTTAATAGATACCAATTTGCTGCTGACATTGGCTAGTATAACTAATGAATCTTTCAAATTGATCATTTTTAAACCAATCTGTGATATTAGATTTGTAAAAAATAAGTTTACTCTTGTTTGTGTTAGTGCTGTGTTAGGTTTTGAAAGTGGAACTTTAGAATATGTGGACTGGTGAAGTAATCTACAGCTGGATTACTGTTTTTACAGTTATTACCATATTATAGTTATTGTCTGGAAACAATGGGATGTTAATATGATTATTAAGTGCTTTATTCATGATAAGTTAATTAAAAGTTTTCATATTCTTGAATACTCCCCCAAATAGAGAGGAAATGTGTTTGGACATTAGGTTCAGCACTTGATTTCTTGTTCATCTGCATTAACTTCGTGGGGGTGTGTAGATTGTGATTTATAAAAAGAAATATGTATTTGGTCTTCATGCTTGTTTCTGGCACAGAGCTCCTAAAACTCTTGGAATTTCCTAAGTGATAAGAGCAATACAGGTGTCTTTTGTTATTCATAACAAGCCCCTTTCAGCCATGCCTGAGTGTGTTAATAAGGTGACTTTTGGAAAGCCCCTAAGGATGGGGGCTAGTTGCTGGGGGACCTACCTTGATTAGAGGGTTGGAACTTTCAGTCAGTATTGTCACTGCCCTCCCCCCCACTCCCCCACCCCTGAGGGACAGAGACTGCAGGTTGAATCAGTCACCAATGGCCAATGATTTAATCAATCATGCCTACATAATGAAGCTGCCATGCAAACCCCAAAGGATGATTATTGGAGAGATTCCAGGTTGCTGAACACGTGGGAGTGCGGGGAGAATGGCAGACCCAGAGGGAGCCACGAAAGCTCCGTGCCCTTTCCCGCATACCTTGCCCTATGCATCTCTTTCACCTGGCTGTTCCTGAGTCATCCTTTTGTAATAAACTGGTAAACGAGTAAGTAAACACAGGTGACAGCCTGGACTTCTGATTGACATCTGAAGGGGGGGCTGCATCTTGTAGGGCTGAGCCCCTAAACTGTGGGATCTGATGCCTGTCTCCAGGTAGATGGTGTCAGAATTGAGTTAAATTGTAGGGCACCCAGCTGGCGTTGGAGCATTGCTCGATGCCTGGGAAACTACATGTGGTGTAAGAAGTGTCATAGTGAGGTATTGAGAGTAGAGGAAACACACAGGGGAGCGTGTTTTTCTTTGTGTGTGTGTGTGTGCACATTAATAAAAATTTTTGCAGATGACTGCTTCCTGGGTACAGTTAAGGCAATTTTTGCTTTACTGAAAACTCAAACTTTCTGCTACAGATACTTGGACTTCTGTGGTTGACCACTAGGTGTCATGAGTGCCACGGGAGCGCCACGAGTTCCCCGGGGCGGGTAGAAACTGAACATTGTAAGCTCCTACCCCTTCACATATTTCACTGTTTCCACATGATCGATGCCAGAGAACCTGATACAGTGTGATATATAGAAGCAAGGTACAACTGGAATAATGAAATTTCAAAAAATCAGGCTTTTTAAAGGCGGGTTGTAATGGTTCTATTGGGCATTGTAAATGCTTCAGGTGCACTTGATACCGCTGTTATGTTCCTGGCGTTCGGGTCTCTCTTTTTATGGGAAGATGGATTGAACTTCAATTTAAGAATATTCGGTAATCCCTCTCAGGACATACTGTAACAGCTGGTATTTTTGTGTTGTAGTAAATCGATTCCATACAACAGTCAGTAATAATTATGGCTGGGTTCTGACAAATTCCAAAGCATTTTCGATAAATTTAGCCAAAGAAAATAACATGATTACTACAAAAATTTAGCTCAGTTTGAAAGTTAAACCCAGCAAGTTCTGCTTCGTTCCACAAAATATTAAACATTTTACTAGTTGGGATTTTATCAAACCATTTATTTTTTATTAATATATATGTTCTGAGAAGATAATTACTTTGTTGCATATATTTCTTAATATGACTGGAAAAATTTAACCTTGAGGGTTCATTATGAAATAAAAAATGAGACAAGCTAAGGCCTTTCACAGAGAGTATGTAGTGTAGCAGCAGCGTCAAGTCCGAAGGATGTTTTGATGTGGAATGTAAGTTGTCATAGTATTAATAGAATGTTTGATAGAAGCATAAATTGGCTTATTATATGGTGTGTGTGGTTTGTAAAAGTGAAACACTGTAAATTCTTTAAGGCGTGAAGAAAGTGGTAGTTTGCACAGTGTAGATTATATAGTGTATTTCTATAGTTAGGCAATCTGTCCCATACAAATTACGACTTTTCTCATGGCATAAAGATCTTAAATTACATACATACAGACACAGTGAATACCTACCCACATACACACATATATATTGCCCTAATGGTAGAAATGTGTGTGCATACACTTTATAAATTTTAACCGTTTCCTTCTTTTTTCTCAGCAGCAAAAGCGAGTCTACTAATTGAATGCATTCTTTAAATTATGTATGGTCTGTTTTTGACTTGGTTTGTGTTTGAATTAAGGAATATTTTTATGTAGTTGAATCTTAATCCTGATTGTTAGAATAATTTATGGAAGCAAAGCAGAATTGCCTTTAAAATTATTGGGAAAACAGCTTCAGAGATGGGCATTAATGAAACCTTGCTTTGGAAACTCTTTCATTTTTAGCTTAGTGATTTATATTTTAATTTGCTATTTAACATAACTGTCCTTATATTTTTAATTAACACTCTTTTCTATATGGATTTGTAGGTATACTTTAGCTTTATAAATCTTTGTAATAATATAAAACAAAATTCAAGACATTGCATCAGATGGTCTGGTCCAAGATAATTTACTTGACGGTGAATTTTTTCATACTGTCATTTACTTTGATAATTAGAAAGCTCATTTAAAAGGCTTTATAGAATTTTATAGTTTGGACTTTTCCACAATGAAATTTGGCAAGCTCATTTTCTTTATTCTGTAATATGAATCAGCAATTTAAAGGCTTTAAGAATTGGAGTGAGCCAGTTTTTTGAGTGTTTACAATATCTGTTTTTCTTCTTAATATATGTTAAAATATGCTTTTAAATTACTGAATTTGGCTTTACAGAGAACTGGGGAAAATGTATTCAAAACGAACTGAAACACATTGTGGTGTTCTTCTGATTTCTAAAAAATGTAAATGCAGTGTATTTTCCGTTATTAGGCAGCAGTGGTCCAAATTGAAACCACATGGCCTCCTTCTAGGTGTCAGGCCAATGTAAATTTTAATCTTGCTACTTTCTTTTATGTTTTCATTTTATAATCTTATTACCTGAATTAAACGACCCCAGTCATAATAACCAGCATTTGTTGTTTGCTTGCCATGTGCCAGATGGTGTGCTCTGTGCCTTAGCATAGTTAATTATCAAACAATTCCAAATTGCTCTTATCTCCATTTGCATATAAGGAAATTAAGATTTAATAAGATGAAATATCTTCTCTAGGGTCACAGAGCCAGCAGGATTAGAGAACAGGCCAAACTCCACATCCCCTGCTCTCAGCTGCTGTGCAATGATGCCTTTACTGCTTGTTTGGGGAGAAACATTAGTTAAAATAGTTATTGAAAAAAACTGGTATTTTCCAAGATACATCAAAGCTTAGTTTTTACTAAAAGAATTTACTTTTGTAGATTAGTGTGGACTGTTAGGTTTAGATTATTAACGTTTGTGGAAATCTGTAATAACACCTTGCTGCAGCTTTAGTATTCTTTCAAGGTTATTTGCAGTTTTCGGTTAGAGAACTTTGCAGTTGTCCTATTAGGATGAGCTGTTTAAAAAATTACAATTAGTTAAAAGTTGTTGACAATTTATAGAGTCTCTGTTGTGCATTTGGAAATACAGCTTAGACTTATAATAGAAGGAAGGAATTTTCGAATGGCATTGGCGTACAAAAGCTTCTTTAAGTTCTCCGTCTATGTAATTCACAGTCCTCAGACCAACTGTAAAAATCTTTAAGGAAGCCTTGATACATGCATGAAGAACTTTCATGTTTTTAATTAGAAATCTCGCATCAAAATCAAAAATGCTTACACTTAATACTTGCATGTAGTCTGTAGAAGAAATTCTGAAGAAGTGTGTTGGATTAAGAATTTTGAATGTTACAGAATGTTGCCATCCAGTAATCTTCCTTATTATTATTATTATTATTTTTAAAGTGTTCCTTTTCTTCGTGGAAACGGCCTGCCTGATACATAAATCTTGGTAGACAGCGTGGCTGCAGCCGTCGAGCTGGAATTCCCTGCAGCTTTGTGAGCCGAGCGTGTTTGGAGTGTGGCGTCCCAGCCTGCAGCCTGCATCATGCCAGCTTTGTCAACAGGATCTGGGAGTGACACAGGTATGTGAACCCAAGAGGGGCAGTTTCCCGTCCATCCTTACTTAAATTTTCTTGTTCACAGTGAGAAACAGCATTGCTTTAAGCAAGCGCAAACAGATCATGCTTGTTTTTCTATAACTAACATAAGGGCGTAAAATCAACTTGGATATGTCGTTCCAAGATAAAAATTATCGAAGGCCGTTGAGTGACTGCTGTCTCCAGGTAGTGGGGGTTTGTGCTGATGCTCTTATACTGTCTTGCCTTGTGGAATAATGCCGTGCATTTAAATTTCTTAAAAAATATATTAAGTATTTTAAACATATAGCCAAGTAGACTGTGATACTCATGTTACCTTCCACTCATATTTAATGACAGATATGAACTTTTTGCTGTACTTGCTTCGACTTCTCACTTTTTTTCTTTAAGAAATAAAACACTATCCCTACCCTGTTCTTCCATTTTCTTTCTTCCTGTCACCAGAGGTGAAAACTATTCCAAAGTTGACATATGTCATTAAGGGATTTAATTAAAACAAACATATTTCACCTTATTATCAGTCGTAAGACTTAGTGATACTTAGAATAAAGATTTCTGAGAAAGGGAAAAATACGACTGTGTGTATACGTGTGTAAAATCCCCTCCTCCTGGCTCGTTTCAGGAGGTGGCGTGAGGGAGGTCGATCCCCTTTGAAGTCCTATTCTGGGGTTCCCCAGAATGAGCACTTTTTAAAAATGTACGTTCCTGGATATTTCCCAGAACTATTAAAGCAGAATGTAAGTGAGGTTGGGGAGCTGTGCTTTGCATTTTTAAGTGCCCTCAAAAGAAGTGTAGCATCGAATGTGACTAAAAGAACGTTCTGTGTCGCACTGACCGTACTGAATTTGGTCCCATTAATACCATTCCATAACTAGTAGCTGTCTCAGAGTGGACAGTTACTGTCACCATAATTTTAAAAAGGCCGAATCACAAATTTGATTTTGTTATATTACGTTCATTGGCATTTTCATTTGCACTATTTGCAAATATCATTCTTCGTTATTTCAAGCATATCCATACTTATATTTTGGCAAGTTTTGTCTCGTCTTTATCCATCAAGAGTGATTTTTTTCCACTGTGATTTACACTGAGGATTAGTTTTTTTTTAGGAAGTGATTTTGATTTTTAAATTACATAATTCTTTTTTCCTCAAGACATTAACTTGGAGGCCAGCTCCTTTGGAAAAATTTTTTTCTTCTTTTTAGTTTTTATGTAGTCCCACATTATGTTCTGCTATATAAAATGAATGATTTAACTTTCCATAGTGGTTTGGGAAATTATAGATAAAATTTATTTGCACCATAAATTTACTACAGTTGTGTAATGAGTAAGTTTTATGCTTTGCGATTCACCAAAAATGCCTTAGTTTAATTGAATGCAAAATATTGTTGCTTACATCTAACTCGGGGAATGATTAAAATGGAGTATTTATAGTTTATAGGGCAGTTTAGGTGTCAGTCATGAAAAATAACGTAGGCTATTTAGAACTTAAAAAGGACTTTTCCACACATAGCTGGCTCACTTGGTGCAAATCTAAAATGCCTGTGTGACTCATACCTGGCAGTGTGATAGTTTTTGACCTGTGTGTCCCAACAAGGTTTGAGTCAGGCAGAGAGGATGTGCATGTTAGGAGTCACCGCAGTTAGGGAAGCCCCAATGTGTGGTGTACCCATCAGATGCTTATGGTTCTCTTATAGTGCCTCGCAGACCAGATGCAGTTTACCAGTCAGGGGTCATTTTTACCAGGAGCAGTGTTGCTGAGCAATGTCATTGCTGTTGCATGGTCAGGTCTCCGGGGGAACAGAGTTAGAGATTGCAGCTGAGGACAGATGCTCAGGTAGCAGCAGGGGCCCAGCACCCGACTAACAGTGGCCCCAGTACTCTTGGGAAAAGACTTTCACTGTAAGTCATACATATATATATATATGTATATAAATGTGTGTGTTTATGTGTATCTGTATATCTATAAATATATCTATATATCTGTCTCTGCATACATCTATATATTTACCTCATTCTTTTAAGCTAATGCATAGTTTTCCATCATGTCACAATTTAGTGAACCAGACTTCTGTTAATGGAAACCCTGGTTTTGCTCCTTTTGTAATATTTTGGGAGAGAAGAGGTACACATTTAATGGATGTTGTCAAATTGACCTCCAGATTGGTTAAACCACTTGACAGTCTACAGACAGTGCATTAAAGATCCTTTCCCCCACGCTCTTGCCAGTTTTCAGTGTTATCAGCCTTTATGGTTTTTACCAATCTGATGGGGAAAACATGCTATCCTAAATGTTAAATGTGCATTACTACTGACATTAAGCGTATTTCCATTTGTTTAATGGCCGTTTATTCCTCTGTGATTTTTCTGTTCATGTCCTTTCCCCATTTTTCCATTGGTTTATCATTTTCTTGTTTATTTGCAGAATTTCTTTATTTGTATGTATTAATCCTTTGGGTTGTTTTAGGTTGAACATCATTGCTTCCGGTCAGTTATTTGTCCCTTCCTTGATAATATTTCTTCGGTAGAAGGTGAAAACTTTTGTGTAGACAAATCAATCTTTTCTGTGTGGTTAGTGCTTTTTTTCTTCTGCTTAAGAAGGCCTTTCCTCCCTACTGCAAGATCAGGAAGTAATTCTCTAAGATTTTCTTCCAGCAATTTAAAAAATTTGGTTTTACGCATTTGGAATTTTAGTCCAACTGTAATTTGTATGTGGAGTGAGGCAGTAATCTAATTTTATTTCCCGCATGAACAGCCAGTAGTCCCAGAATCACTTATTCAATAGTCCATCCTTTTGACATAAATTTGTAATATTCCCTGTATTGTATATAAGTATTACATATATTCTGTGTTTTCTTTTTTGGGCTATTATTATCTGTTGATCTTACTTAAAAATTTTTTTTAATGGACTTTATTTTTTAGAGCAATTTTAGATTTACAGAAAGATTATGAACATAATCCAGAGAGTTGCAGTGTACCTTACACCTTGTTTCCCTGATTATTAACATCTTCCCCTAGTTTGGAACATTCATTTCAGTTACTGAGTCAATATTGATACATTATTATTAACTAAAATCTATACTTTCTTCAGATTTCCTTAGTTTCCCCCTAATATCCTTTATTTTTGTTTCAGGATCTCCTGTTACATTCAGTTGTCATTGTCTCATTAGGCTCCTCTTGGCTTGAGGGTTTCTCAGAGTTTCCTTGTTTTTGATGATCTTGCCAGTTTTCAGGAGTACTGGTCAGGTATGTTGTAGAATTCCCTCTCCTGGAATTGCCTGATGTAAAGTGCCATAGTCATATCACGATATGTACTATCAACTTGATTTTTGACTGTTGATGTTGATCAACTGGCTGAAATCGTGTTTGTCAGATTTCTCCACTGGAAAATTACTCTTTTCCCGCCCTTTCCATACCACACTCTGGAAGGAAGTCTCCATGTGTAGCCGACACTGAAAGAGTTGCATGCCGTGCTCCCCCTGCTTCAGGGTGAAGTGTCTATATAAATTATTTGGAAGTCTTTGTCTCTTCTTTCCTATTTGTTAATTTATTCACTCGTTTATTTGTATCAGTGTGGATTCAGGGGTGTTTATTTGTTCTGTGGGTTATAATCCAATACTACTTGATTTCCTTGCTCAAACTCTTCCAGCTTTGGCTTTGGGGAGCTCTTTCTCTTGGTTTCTTTGATATGCCTCCATCAATGGCTTGCTTGTTTTTAACATTTCCTTACTTTTGGCACTACGAGATACTCCAGGCTCTTTTTACAATGCCCCAGTCCTAGAATCAGCCATTGCTCTCAGGAGCTCTAGTGCCTTTTATTGGAGAATGGGATTAGAAACCAAGATGTGGGTGATAGGTTTGCACGTTGCTACTGGAGTATTGTTTCTTTTAAACCGTCTCATCTGACAGCAGAGAAATACATGTATGTACACTAACCCTTGTGTATACAGACGTACAGAAACATTTCTGTGTGCTGTCATCTGTAACTATAAGCTAGATATGAATTCTTATTGATGTCTCCAACTCTCGTCCATTAGCAAATGGATCATTCTCCTTCCCTTGCTTGTCTGTAAATTCCCACTCCAACAGTGAGAAACCTGGCTGCCGCCATCCACCATCCATTTTAATTACTCAGTCCCGGTGTACATGTGTAGCAGTATCAGAATTGTTATCTTTTCCTCCGCAGGAAACAACTATTATCAACTAGAGAGTTGATCTTATTTTGATGATTGTATGGTACCGTTCTGTTTGTAATCTTATGGTCTCATTCCTTTCCTGCTTAGTGCCTGTGTTACTTAGTTATATAAATTCATTAAATATGATTTTTACAAACATCATATGTGAAATATGATACATATATATACAGAAATGCACATAAAACTTTTATAATACAGTTTTAAAAGTGCTTATAATGCCAACATCCATGTGATCACCACCTGGATCAAGAAATTGAACACCCTGAAAGCAACTTGTGTATTTCTTCTCGTTCACAACCTCCTCAATCTTCTTAGAGATGGCCATGAAAAAATAAAGATTCCTATCTCACACTATGCATAAAACATAGTTTATGATTTATGTAAGCATCCCTAGGCAATATCGATTAATTTTGCCTGTTGTTGAACTTTATAAATAGAATTACATTATATGAACTTTTTAAGGCTGATGGTGACTATTTACAATGAGAAAAAAATGATAAATTGTAAATAAAAACATGGAAACATAAATATTACAAAATCCAGGGAAAGAACATAGTATTTTTATTAATGAACTGCCTGACACACCTCTATAATGCTTTTTATTCTATATTTCTTGTCTGTCTCCTCTTTGATTGCTTCTTCATATGATTTTGTAATACTTTCCTTGAGAGAACAGAAAGAAAATCCAATCCAAACTCTTGTGTTTTTCCTTTACTCACATACACAATACTTCTGACACCAGATGTGTGGGTTTTTTCCCCCACAACAGGCAGTTCTCTACAACATTAG